TAATCTTACAGTCTCATCCCACGAAAATTCGTCATCAAAAGTATTTACCCAAAAAAAAAAAAAAAAAAGTCATCAAAAGTCTCTTATCTTTTATACAATCTCAAGCTTTAAAAAAAGGGTTTTGGTTGGTTAGACAATCATTGTAAACTTTAGTAGTCTTTTGCCTTAATGCTTAATAATGTTTTACTTCTGTTATGGTATTATTAGGGAAATAAATTTCACCTTTTTAATTTTTTTTATTTATTCAAACAATAAAAATCATATATACATGTTTGCATAATATTATAGTGTGGATTGTACCATCTATATCGTATCGTGTGGCGAAAGATACAAATCATACAGACACGTATAGTTGATGAGTTAAATTTAATATATGCTTTCATATTATGATTCAACATGTATCACACGATTAATTAATTTTTACCTTCTTTGTCAATTTTGGTCCCATTAACAACTTTTTTCACTATCAATCACCATATTGGAAAATCATGAATTATGTTCTTAGAAAATCCAATACGATGTTTGCAAGAGAAAATGACTCCTATACTCCTTTTCACTACAATAAATTAAATTATTGTCATGGATCTAATTCCGGTGAAGAAAATAAAATATTTACCGATAAAGATTGTTAGGTTTAGACTCGATAAATATTGTTAGGTTTAAACTCTTAATTTGAGCTGAAAACATATTTGAACCATGATAATAAATTATATAACAAGTATGTTTGGGACTACCACATCCAAATAAGTCTTAATGAATATGTTAAATGAATTATATCATATACAATACGTAAAAGTAATACAATGCTACACGATACATATGTTTCAATAACACTAGTAGTAACTAAAATAAATAAATAAAATCTATTCAATAATATATATCGCGGCCTCATAACCTTAAACAATATCGAGAATTTTATATTTTTCATATTTGTAATTATTCTCCTGCTGATTGAAATACACACACACAAAAATAAATAAAATAAAAATTAAGAAATTCCCTAAATTACATTAAATTCATACCAAAGTCACCCATCATCGATCCATTTGGTGGGCTTCTTAGGTTGCGTTTGGATCATGAATTTGATTAATGATTTAAAAAAAGACAAAAAAATAAATAAAAATTTGTATTACATTCACATTTCTCTCTTTTTTTCCTTTCGTTTCTCGAAACTTTTATCTAAATTTATGATCCAAACATTTCAATTGAAGCATGTGCATGCACATATGAGAGAGAGAGAGAGAGAGAGAGAGAGAGAGAGAGAGAGAGAGAGTACAGGTTATGCAAAAATCCCAACACAAAGAGGGGGCCAATTCTTCTTGAGGGGTTACACGTTTTGTCTTTTGACAAAAGGATTCCATTCAACCCTGTAAAGTGTTGAGTGATAAATGTTCTCATTTTAAAATCTTAAAATGCAGTAGCTGTATAGACTAAAATTCAGTAACAGTTACAAAGTATAGATTAAAATTCTGTAACAGTTAACGATTCAAAACATATATACATATAGAGAAGACAAATGTGATATGTTTATAATTTCATATTTAAATTTTTTTAACAAATTAATAAATGACGGAGAAGTGTTAAATTTGAAAACTTCAACAATTATTTATCAGAGCAGTTAACAATATGGTCATTCTTTTTTTAAAAAAAATGAACAAACAACGTGATAAATTTTCAAAACTACTCTGAGATGTGTGCTTTGTATAAGAGAATAGATATATTGAATAAATATATATACACGCCCTATGAAATGAGGATTAAGTGCCGTATATATACAAGTGATTTGAAATGGAATCTAGCAGAATAAAATTAACAATTTCTAATACAGATTGTAAAGTAAGGAAAAGATAATGGATGAGGAAAGCAAAGGAAGAGAAAAGAGTAGTTGTATCTTCTTTAGAGAAAGAGGAAAGAAATTCTTCGGGGATGGTCATCCAAGTCATCCATTCATCTTCCAAGCTGGCAGACAAGTCAGTTTCATAAGAATAATAATAATTTTTTTTTTAAAAAAAAAAAACCGTCTTTTTGTTTTTGTTGTTGTTGTCGTTCTTGACTTGTAATAACTTACAAATTATAGGTATCGGTTAAATTGAGAGACACCAGCGAAAGTGGAACCCAAACTGTTTCGAATTTATGGTTCACTCTAGAGTTTGAATGCATAGTGTGCAGGACCCGGTGCCCCAAACTTTTGAAAATTTCCATTAATCCTATATTATTTTGACTATTTATAAAAACAAAAATAAAAGTATTTAGACCCTTAAAAACTTGATAAATTTTATCTGACCCTTTTAAAATCTAAATAATTTTACCTTTACCCTGTCTAAATAATTTCTCCTACCTTAACCTCTCTGTTATAAAGTTTCTAAGTCTGCCACGGCTCTTAACTGCTAGGCTACCTGTGCGGGTTAAGCCTCTCTATTTGATCCATAAAAGAGAAGGTGAAATCCCAAAAACCACAGGTTGCTTCAAAACATGACATCTCTCTCTCTTGTGGTGGCATTTTAGCAATACAACACCCCCTAGCTTCCTCCATACTCTCTTAGCTCCACTGAGTGTAGAGACAAATTGAATGTTAGAAAAAGAGGTGGGCAGTTCAGTTGAGAAATGGCTTCTTCTTCTTCAGCAGTTTTTGCTTTCGATGCCAATTTGCCAACTCAAAAGCTAGTTGATTAGGGTCCGAGTAGAAAGTGGAGGAAAAAGGAAGAGTTATGGAGGCAGAGCCATGAAAAAAAACCCATTTGATTATCACTTCCTTCAGCTACAAGTCCCTCTACCCACCCTCCATATATACTAGTACTACTGCCCTACACTCCCATTGTCGCCATAATCAATATCTATGTGTTCCTAAGTTGTGCTATGCTATCCAGTTCAAGCAATGCCACAAGGCTATCCATTAGAGGTATGAAGGTTGTTGCTCTTCGAAATCTCCTTATCCTTATTTCTTGTTTTCCCAAACATCACTTTAGCAGGAATCTCGTGCACCGAATCATCTTTTGTGTGTGTCTGTATATATATATGCTAATGCTTGGCTCCCTCTATGCCATTTGTTAAGTCCACCAGTAAACCGGTGGTCTTCGTGGATGGCATGCGAGGAGTCATGCATGGCATGCTATTGATTATGTGCATGCACTCGCTAACTCTCATCCTCCTCCCTCTCTCTCACATATGCATGAATGATGTCTGGTATAATTTGAATGAGATTGAAGTATTGAATAGAATGGTGATACCAAGTGTGACGCGCCACTATCACCAAAGTAATGGTACTTCAATTTAACTCGTTTTTTGTTGGGTCAGGATACTCATGAGTTGATTGAGGGAACACACTACTAAAAGTTTTTGATAAGTAGAAGAGATTTTGATCCTCTCTATTTCATAGAAGACATGTTTTAAATCAACACATTATGAACATTTCCTCAACTATCACTAATTGCACACCTTTTGCAGGAGTGAAAGTGAATTTTATAGTTAATGAATTTGAATATGTGATTAAAGTTGAGGGGTAAAGTGATATTCTGTTATAATTGAAGGGTATCTGTATAATTAACCCAAAAGTTTAGACCATCATGTGATGGATTGACCTCCCTTCCCTGCCTCTCACTTTCATATGCTACTTTGCACATCATTGTTCTACAATGCGATGCTTGCTTATTGTTAATTCAAAGGGGAATAAAAAATGATTTTCTTTTTTCAACTTTCCAAAGATTTAATGAAGAATTTAGGAGCCATTGAATCTTGGTAGTTTCCATACCTTGGTTATTCTGAGTCAAGACCCACAATTTTGAGGATTTATTTATTTATTTATTTACTTTATTTTTTTTAAATATTAATTCCATCAATAGGATCCACTAATGATGTTTCCTCCATTTTTGTTTTTTTCCACATAGAAAGATAAACCATGAGCTTTATATATATTGACTATAAATATTCTACTTCAACATGGGTTCTTGATCTAGCCTGTGCTTGTGTTTGACTATGTATAATGATCCTCAAGGATCAAAGTTTGTTATGCTCAGATAGGGGTTGAACATGAAAGACAATTAAAAGCAAGGACCATCTTGGTCAGGACATATATGAGTACGTGTTGATATTTAAACAACACCGCATCTGGATGCGCAACAGTGCAAGCGATGTAGAACAAGTAGCTGAAGAATTCATGGAACAATTGGATCCGCAAAAGTCAAAGAAGGTATCAAATTAGGGGAAAAAACGTAAAATTTTTGACGAGTTCATAATCCCTTTAAATTTGGTAACTGATTGGAAATGACGTTTTAAACAAGACTGATGGCATGGTGGATTTTTAACCAATTCATTTGTTTAGGCCCTCAGATTGAAAATTTTTCCCTTTATGGAAAGTTTTGTTTTAGTAATATCTTTATTTTGGGATGTCCATCTTTAGTGCCACCTGTTTTGGCATGATCCTAGTATTTTCTAGTATCCGAGATTGGGTTTAACTCAAGTTTTCCATTTTGGCCTTTTTCTGTTCTTTTTATTATTTCATGCTTAGCCAGGAATTAATCCAATTGGTTGTTTCCTTATTGAACTAGGGCTTTTCATATTCTAAGTAATCATGTATGCCTTAGGGCAAAAGAACATTTACCAATAATATTCAATTTCTCTTGAGAATTATTCTCTTCCTTGTGGATTCAAGGCTTTCTTTCTATGCATTCAGGATTCTTCATCTACCAGAACGATAACCAATTCTGTGTGATAATTCCGTTGCGTCAGCAAGCCTAGGAGTCAAGCTTTCATTGCAATACACATACAGCAGTTTCTAACTTACTATTGTTTTGTAAAGATGTTGATTTAATCTCTGCTCATAATGTGTCCTTGGCTCCTTTTAGGTTTAAACCATGATAAGTTTTTAGTGTGATAATTCAGGCAAATTAGATCCCAAAAATGGTTCAAAAAAAGACACCATCAATCATGTATGTATGTGCTAATGATCAGTTGATTAGTATTGTCGAAGTAATGAGGAAAAAAAAAACTGCCAATGCAACTGTAAAAATGTAACTTCCAACACAGCACAAAATGGTATTCATTCTATCAAATTGCAACTGTAACTTGGTCAAGTTCACAAATAATGAATCTATATGTACAACTGTCACAAAATTCATAAATTTCACAAAAGGAACTGAATTACAAAATTACAATTCTCACTTACTGCACTAAGCCGCTAATCATCTGTTGCACTTCCCATCCGTTAGATTAAACATCAAATGGTCCAGTCTGTACAGTTTGTATTGTTCACATTCTCTTCCAACGATAAATTGTTAATCAATCTGGCACAAAACATCTGGTGAATTAGACGTAGCTGCTTCTGGGGCTCATTGTGCTCATACTGGTGGAGCCCCTGGAGAAAAAGCTGTGTGTAGAATGCCTTTGGCCTCCAATTTTAACGTCCATGAGATCAGCAACAAGCCCCGGCTGTGATATTTTAATGTTGGTGATGTCAATCTCATTAGTCAACATTTTAACCACACTTGACATTGATGGCCGTAGACTCGACGTTTCTTGCACACAAAGTAGGCCTACTTTCAAGAATCGGATTGCTTCTTCTTCCGGGAAGTCTCCATTTAGCACAGGGTCCACCAGTGCCACAAGGTTGTTGGCCTTGTACATTTCCCATGCCTGCACTTCCACATTTGCAAAAGTCTTCATCAGGACTACTATAAATATACCAAGCGAACAACATTGTCTTGTAATAAAAAGTAACCAATTATCACAACTATCTGATATCTAAAATTGAAGGCCAATAACTTTTTTAATTTGATGGGCCAAAAACATCCCCAACTTGGTTCATGTTGAGTAATCTAAGGTGCCTTCACTTTGGGGCTTGAGTTACTATAGTTTGGCATTAATAATTAGGCATTAAGGCTCAGGTCATTCAACAACAGAACATATTGCTTCAATTACCTTGTCAACAAGGTACTGCTCTCCACGTTCCAAGTCGAAATCCACAACTGACCGACCACTGACTATCTCCAACAATAGTACTCCAAAACTGTAAATGTCTGATTTTCGTGTCAAACGTCCGCTAATGGCATATTCTGGAGCAAGATAACCTCTATGCCATTCATGATTGCAAGAAACCACGTTAGCATCACAATTGGCAAAAACCCAACACAGGTTTACTGGAAAACATTTGTCACAAGAGTTTTAACAACTTACATTGTCCCAGCAACACGAGTACTAATATGAGAAGCATTCTCTCCAAACAGCTTGGACAGACCGAAATCTGAGACTTTAGGTGTAAAATCCTGATCAAGAAGTATATTGCTTGCCTTAATATCACGGTGTATGATACGGGGTTCAACCTCCTCATGGAGATAGGTTAGTCCTCTAGCAACCCCTAATGAGACTTTCCTCCTCCTTGCCCAACCAAAATTGACCCTATTTTGCTCTCCACCTATTAACCAAAAAAAAACACTATATTTGTTTTTATCTCTATAGCAAAAATCTGGGATTACATTTCTGTAGATATCACTGTAAAATTGTTTTCTACATACGAATAATTACAAACGAATAATACATTAGAATTTAAACTTACCAAGAAGGGTGTGGGAGAGACTATTGTTTTCCATGTAATCATAAACCAAAAATCTTTCAGCTCCATTGACACAACATCCTCTAAGTTTAACAAGATTTTCATGTTTGATATCAGAAAGTGCAGATAACTCAGATATGAACTCTCTTTCCCCCCTCATCGACTCGAGCTCAACTGCAAGCACTTTTATAGCCACAAATGTGCCATCTCCAAGCCGGCCCTTAACAATCCAAACCCAAAACTAATGTTAATAATACAAACAAAGCAACAAGAACAACAACATGCATTGCATAAACCACAATGAGTCAGTCAATGGGTTAGGCAATTCAGCAAGCGTAAGTCACGGGTTCGAATCTTATGAAGCATTTTGGAAATTACCCAGTACGTGTAAATCCCTGATTTTAACCCCACCACCCTAAAAAAAGAAAAAAAGAAAAAGAGGAGCAGCTTGCACTGATAATAAGTAATTTTCACAATCACCTTGTAGACAGATCCAAAACCTCCCTCACCAATCTTGTTTGATGAAGGAAAATTATGAGAGGCAGCTTTCAATTCGTTGTAAGAGAATACCCGGAAATCCTGAGAACCCAGTTCACCTGGTACAAAGATTTCTACATAATTAGCATCAAAACAAAGATTATAAAGAAGTTTTGTTTTTGTTTTTGTTTTTTTTTTTTTGAGGAAGATTTAGAATATACCCTCTCCGCTTCTATTGACAATATTGGAGTCTGATGTAGAGGAGAAGCAATTTGAGCAACGAAAAGAGAACTTCATAGTAATTTTGATCTGTTTGAATTTCTAGATTGTGGGTTTTGACATATCAATTCCCATGTTAAAGAATATGGGTATGAGAGGGTATAACTGCAAAATTAGATTCACAGAGACAGGGGAGAGAATAAGGGAGAAGAGAAGCAAGTATATATATGTGGAATTCTTCATAAACACATGCCCATGAATTTTGACTTCTGGGCATAACTTTGAATTTTGATAAATTTTTTTTTAAACTACCATGTAAGGACTTTCTTATAAGCCATGAATGTTGGGTAAAACAAGTTTTATGAATTGTTGTACTCTGACACTCTGTCCGTCCCCTTTTTCATTTTTAATTTTTATTTTTTTTTTCATCCTCTATCTGTCCATGCTTTGTTAAAAAGAAAATGAGTGAGAGTATTAATTAGTGCTATTATTAATGATGTGATAGTGGGCTTCACTAGAAATGATTTGATATTTTGGTCTTGGTGCTGTATTTTTTTTCTTTTTTTATTAAGTGCTATGTCATTAGTGGTCTTTTTAGAGCTCCAAAATTAGTGGTCTCTATCATTGTTGTTGTTAAAAGGAGGATTATGATTACATATTTTAGTAAAAAAAAAAATTAAAAAGTTATATATTGTCACATCACTTTTTATTTCTTTTATATATTTTTGTAAAAAATAAAAATTTATTAAAATAACAACAATGATTCATCCCACTAAAAACATCACCACTAATAGGTATTAAAAAAGTAAAATAATAATAATAATAATAATACAATTCCAAGACCAAAACATCACATCATTAATGGCAAGACCCACTACTACCTAATTAGTGGAAGCACTAATTAATGCTCCCAATCATTTTTCTTAAAATAATATGTTCCAAACGAAATTTATATGTAAGTTGGAGAATCAAGGAAAAAAAAAAAAAAATTCAACAAATGAGGATTGCAAATGACATTTACAACCTTACAATACTCAATCACAGATATATTTGCACGCTGTGTGTTGGAAATTTACTTTCCCTTCTCTCACATAATTCCTTCTCGATAAAAGTTACAATTTGTTTTATTTGACAAGAAAATAATAAAATAATAAAAAAATTCTATTTTTAGAGAGAGGATAAAAAAATTTGTATTTCTAAATTATTGATATTTTTAAAATTTTTGATTTCATCAATAGTAAGCTTTTGATTTTAGTTCATGTAATCTAATCAGAGCCAATTAATCCTAATAAGTGACATTTGTTTCCCTCTGACAAGAAAATAATAAAATAATAAAAAAACTCTTTTTCAGAGAGAGGATAAAAAAAATTTATATTTCTATATTATTGATATTTTTTTAATTTTTGATTTCATCTATTTAGTAAGAAGGAATTTTTTTTAGGGTACCTGATATTAAGATTTTATAGCATGAAGGATATCCAATATTTTCATAATGTTTAAAATCCCTCAAATCGATTTGGAGGAAATTCGATTCAGAGAACTTCTCTGAACTTCCCAGAGAAAAACTCTCTAGAAAAATTCGTTCCCTAAGAAATTCTCTCTAAAGAAATTCCTTTCTAGAGAAAATTTTTCCAAACCAAAGAAATTTGGCTCATTACGTGCAGAAAATTACTCTGGGTTCAAACCACAGAAAATTGAAATATCTCTGACTTTGTTCAAAGAAAATTAAAATTTCTCTGACTTTGTTCATAGAGAATTTCTCTGACTTTCTTCACAAATTTTCTGTGAAGAAAGCCTCTGTCTTAACTTATCCAACAATTCTACTCTAAAATTTATACCTGTCAAAACAATTCAACAATTCACACAATAGCCAACTAATCACAAAATTCAAAGACCATTTAAATAGAGAAACAAATTGAAAATAATATCTTCTAGAACTCAGTAGTATGATCAAAGCCACAATTGAACTCAGTAGTAAGATGTGTGCAATGGAGATAAAGTTGGAGTGTCCTCTGATCGTGTTAATGGCATCTGCAAATATGAGATTGACCGAAACAAGCCTTCTGTTGGTGGAAGAAGAAAACCAAAACACAAGGATATTGTCACAAAGACAAGGACTGCATGTGTTCTGAGTGGTGTGGCATCCAATTACGTGTAAAGGCATTTTGCAAATGTGATGATTGCAGTCATTGACTCATAAAAAATACCATTGCTAGAACCATACTTTACTAGTGTCTAACCTTCAAAATAACAAATAAGAAGTTTGTTTTTTCTATTTAATTTCACGTTATTCTGAAGAGGTCCATCCACTTCTGCTAGCAGGTGTATTCGGGGAGTCAGTTTTTGGGCTTTCGGTCTCGTTTGCGCTTGTTGTCTCCCATATGAGAATAGAGAGAGAGAGAGAGAGAGAGAGAGAGAGAAATGATGTTCAATTTAGGAGAGTTAAATTTCTCCGTGATATATAAGTGTGAGTTGAGGGACCTTAGACATCACAAAATAATATTGTGGATCTCTTTTATTATTAAAAATGAGAGAGGGACCTTAGAATAAGCTTTTGATTTTAGTTCATGTAATCTAATAAGAGACAATTGATCCAAATGAGTAACATTGAAAGTCTAAACTAATGGACAAAAAAATAATTTTACGATTTGAACAATCGTAAACAATATAACTAAACACTCATTTTCTTATTCAAACTTCATTAAATACTTACACTCTATATGTCACGATCCAAACCCGCCCCTATAAGTTTAGCGTCGTAAATCTGTGATTACCGAAGGCCTGTTTAACATAATGATAATAATACAATATAAAGGGACTAGCGGAAGTCAATCAATAATAACATACATCATCCAATGAGCTGTGAGAACCTAAATGGAAATAAACTTTCATATACATAGCTATATATACAAACACTTATATCCATAAAACACATATATACAAAACAAAACACAAGTTAGGGAATTAAATATTGTTATCAAAAATAGTATTAACAAAAGTCATAAAACATTTTTTTCACTTGAGTAATATCAAAGGGGTGAATTTGAACCACCCAAAAAGCCTTGACACAAGTTGGTTCGGAACCTTGCAATGAGGCACAATAGTTGGCTTGACAAAACAAGGGTTCAAGTCGACGCCACTAGCTTTGATCTGGTGCTCGATCACCTACATATATATAGTAAATAGTGAGCTAGAGCCTAGTGAATAACAGCCGTGTAAAGAGGTTAAGAATGATGTCCTTACAATATTTGAAACAATCGATTATCAATAGGACATTTTCAATCAATATCTTTTTGTCAATCAATCGTTCAATTGTTCAATTCAATCAATCATATTCGTATAAGTCATAAGTGGTACATCCAATAGTAACAATACAATAGGTCTTAAAGACCGAACAATCAAGTGATGGCCATCAAACAATAGACATTGGAACTAACAGAGATCTCTGTAACAATAGCGATAACAATATCAATAACAATAACAATATGCTATGGATGCCATAAATACAGTTCAGAAAATAGGATTATCATTTAATCGATAAAAAGTATCATTTCAGAAAATAATATAATTTATCAATCAGAAAATAAATACGATTAAACATATCTTTACAATAGTATTACTCATAGTGGGCTCCTCGATATACATGCTTAGATGCACTAAAATTGCGGCATATAACCTAAACAAACAATTCAAGCACAAACACTCAATACATAGTTCAATCAATCAATTAGTTGCTTACTTATTCGATTCCTATTCGTTTTTCACCCATTCAATTCTATATTTTCACTTTTGTGGTTCATTTAAATACATGAAATGCATATGAAAAACACTTCAAAACTATGCAAATGGAGACCCGGAAGGTAGAAAAATGGAGCGAAGACAAAACCGAGACCAACTTGATTTCTGCACTTGCGGGGGCTCTGGCCACACTGTGCGGAATTGGAAAAACTAGTCTGAAAATTGCCTTCACGGTCGAAACTCAAACTTTTCAAAGTTTAACCTTAACTCTAAGTAGCAATCCCGGTTTTGTCCCAGGCCTTTGTTATATTCCGGACTCGGGTTTCGTGGCTTAGTATTGTGTCCATGTCTTCTTTTTCTCCTTTGACTCTTTGTGTTTGAGTTTTGGAACATGTTGGGCGTGTTTAGAACAGGTTGGTCATTAATTGGTCTAGAATGTTGTTGCCCAGATTTTGACTTCTTCGCTCGAGCGAGCCTTTTGTAACTTGCTCCTTCACTCGAGCGAGATTTCTTGTGCTCGAGCGAGGATTAGGAGTTCTTAGGTTTCCTTCCAGACGTAGCTTTTCTGGGAAGGATGAAGTTCTTCGCTCGAGCGCGAGCCTAGTGTTATTTGTTCCTTCGCTTGAGCGAGACTTCCTGCGCTCGAGCAAGGGTGTGCATCTAAGAAATACCTGAAGGTTCATATTCTTCGCTCGAGCGAGGCTTCTTACGCTCAAAAGCATGTGCGTCTATGGTAGACCCGAAGCTTTGCATTCCACGCTCGAGCGACGCTTTTTGCGCTCGAGTGAGATCATTTGTCATGTCTGGTCGCTCGAGCGACAACTCCTCCGCTCGAGCAAAGGTCGCGTATATCAATTCACAACAGAGCTTTTCTGCATCACTTTTTGTATCTCTTTCACCCAAAACCCTAGCCCAACTCATTCTCTCTCTAAAATACTCTTTCTATATATAAATACACCTTGATTTGGGAGTCTCTCAACCCTAGTCCCTTTGTTAAAAAAGTAGAGCACCTTGAGGGCTTCGTGTTGATCCGAATAGATCGCGATGTCGGCGTGTTTGAAGTGTCTCCACCTTCTCCTTTGCTCTCCTAATGTTGAGGTAGGGATATTCTACACCTTAGTATGATTTTTAACCAAGGTATTTGTCATTTTATATAAATGGTGGAATTTAGAGGTATTTGGATGAAACTAAGGTTTGAGGTTAAGATTTGAAAGAGGGGTTCTCTATTTTGGGTCATGAAAATATATGTAGGGTATTGAAGATGGAATTATATAGGTTGAAATGATGAAATTTTGACTTGTAATTGATATTTGGTAAAAGATGGAGAATCACCCTAATTTGTGTTAAATAATTATTTTGTAGAAATAATGAAATTGATTTGGGAAATATGGAATTGGGAGGATGTATAAATCATTGGTGTAATTGGATTTGATAAATCATTCACCTATGAAAAACTGGACAAACTATCTGTTCGTTAGATTTGTTTATCTGTTTAAAAATATTTGTTTTGGGCTATCGACGGAGGATAGCTATGATTGTTGGAGAAATTGCATGAGAATTAGGTAAATTG